ATAATACATTAGTTAAATTGAAAACATCACCCTGAACAACGCTTCCTAATTATGCTGAATGAGATATTAATGAAGGAATGAAATAATGAGTTCATTCATTCAACAAACATTGAATGCTAACCCTGGCCCTGTGCTGAGCACAAGTCTGGAAACAATGAATTGTAGAGTTTTTTGATAAATATTTACCATCAATGATGCTAGGCATTGTAGTTTTCACATATGCCCTTGAAAGACCAGTTTTAAGTACAGTAGAAAAGAATGGGAAAGCATAAAACTATGATAATCACAATTTAGTGGTAGTAGTTGTTCAGTAAATATTTGTTGCTTTGCATTTATATATATAGTATAGAAAAAATCTAAAATTCTACTCCAGACAATATCAGGAATTGATTGTTTCTATTTATTCTTTGGGCCTTCTTGGTCTCTCCTCTTACTTTCCTTACTTTGCCATGGTCACTTGGTCACTGTCCTCCTGAACAACCAAATCCAATTTGGTGTCATCAGGAAAACATGATACTTTTCTGGTAAGTCGGGGGAATATAAATCTCTAAAGCTCTGAACTCTCCTCTTTTTAGATTCTTAAAACACACCCAATTCAGATCAGGATCCTCATTTGTTACTGAGCAGGGATTTAGCCATCTGAGGGTTCTTAAATACTTTTTTTATAAGTCTGCCTGAAATCATGAAAGTTGCAAGTCATGTTTTATACTTGAAACACTCACCTAGTATACTGAAAAAAATTATTGAAAATCATGGATTCCTGAATTTTTATTTATTCAAAGTATTATAATCAAAAGCAGTTATTCTTTTTCGATGATCGTATTATCCTACATTTGGCTATATGAAGCTCCTTTAAGCTGGCTCCTATATTTTATAGACTTTCCCATTGATCTTTGGGCATAGTATTATATTCATTCTATATTTTCTCACCGCAGACCCAGAATTTGCCATTTTTCTAAAGAACCCTGATTATTTTGAGTGGGGAATGATATTTGGAAATCAAGATTGAGATGCAAGGTGTCCTCATTGCCACTGAGTGCCAATCCCTTTTAGAGATTAGAAGAACTGGGAAGCAGCAGATTTTTGTTTTTGTAAAAAGGTAAATTGATTTTAAAATTTACATGGAATTGGAAAGGACCAAAATAGGTAAAATAATTTTGAACAAGGAGAATATACACTACCTGAAGTCAAGACTGAAATCAAATAGTCAAGACAGAGAGTAATGGTTTAAGGTTAAACAACCAGATCCATGGAACAGAACAAGGAGCTCAGAAATAGATACACACATTTGTTTAATTGATAATTGACCAAGGTACCAAGTTAATTCAATGGGGGGAAAGGAAAGTCTTTCTATAAATATTGCAGGAACAACTACATACCTGTGTGGAAAAGAATGAACCTTGACCCATGCATGTATTTTTAAGTCATGAGTTTAAATGGATATTTCTAGGTAAATTTTAATTTTACAGAATTTTTACTTAACTTCTTTGATTTTGATATTTGTATGTCTCCTTTCTCTTACACAGAAAATCTTAGTCCTAATAACAGTTAATATTTCTTTGCAGATCTTTTTGTTCTTAGAACATATCCCTTTATGGAGGTTCAATTAGAATATTATCTTTAAAAGTCACTTGAAATTATTTTCTCTATATAGCTATTTTACCAATTAGATATGTGGTTAGGTTCATTAGTTTATTCTGTTTATTTTCAATTATCAGGTTTTTTCTTTTTTAAATTTTGAATATGTAAAACATCTAAATGTTTCAAAAATCAAAACTATATAAAAAGATGTACTCAGAGAGGACCTTTTGCCATTTCTTATCTGTTCTACCCCATTCTCCATCCCTCTTAGGTAGATATTAATGTTAGTTTTTGATTTATCCTTCCAATGTTTCTTTTTGAAGAAAACAGTCAAATAAATACATATTTTATGCCCTGACCATTGCTTTTATACTTAACAATATATCTGGAAGATTAGGTCAAATGAGGAAACTTAGGAAATTTTCTCATTATTTCTATGGTTACATAGTACTACATAGCACTACATTATAAAGAAAGATGCACTGGATTCAATAAGCCACTTTTAGATGTGTAGGCATGTACCATATCCAGTCAGATTCCTTTAGACAATCACACTGGGTTCTCTCCTGTATCTGGCAATATTCATTTTCTAGGGCTGCTGCAACAAATGACCACAAACTTGGTGACTTAAAACAACAGAAATTTATTTTCTCACAGTTTTGGGAGTCAGAAGTCTGAAATCAAGATGTTGGCAGAGATGGGCTTCCTCTGGAAGACCCTGAGGAGAATCTTCCTTGCTTCTCACAGCTTCTGGTGGCTGCAGGAATCACTTGGCTTGTAGCTGCATGACTCCAGTCTCTGCCTCTGTTTTCACATGGCTTTCTTCTCTGTTTGTGTGTATTCTCCTCTGCTGTCTCTTATAAGAACATTCATTAGATTTAGAGCCTACCAAAATAATCCAAGATGATTTCACCTCAAGATCCCAAATTTAATTACAGTTGCAAAAAAAGTCACTTGAAATTATTATTTCTTTTTCCAAAAGTCATAATCACAGGTTTTGGGGATTAGGACATGGACATATCTGTTCAACCCACTACATCGGCTATTATAAATAATGCTGGAAGGAATAACCTTCAATATGTGGTTTTATATTTCTGGAGGTATATCTTTAGAGTAGATTCATAGAAGTAGGATTCCTGTGTTAAAGGGCAAATGATATGTAATATTGCCAAATTCCTCTCCATAAGAGTTGTACTATTTTACACTCCTAACAGCTATGTTTTTCCATAGCTTTTTTTTTTTACTCCTAACAGCTATGTTTTTCCATATCTTTTTTTTTTTTTTTTTTTTTTTTGCTAATTCAAGTGATATCTCAGAGTGGTTTTAATTTGCATCGAAAGTTTTTAACTCTTGATTTTATTATCTTTATTTATTGATGAAAGTGGGACATTTATTCAATGGCTCTTAAGTGTCTGCAAATTACTTGGCACTCGAAACACTAGGGATAAAGAATTATGGAGCAAGCGATGCTCTCGAGGAGTTCACAGTCCAGCAGTAATAACTTTAGAGAGCAACAGAAAATGAAAAGTATTTTTATTTATTTTTATTTCACATTGAGAAAAAGCATCAAAAATAATTTAGGTTTCTTGAATTTTTAGAGAGGACCTGTAGTTCTACATTTTCATCAGTAAGTAAAGGCTAGATAGGATGAAAGAGGTAAATCTATATGCATGAATGCCTGTTTCTCATACTACCAAGTTTTGACCGTGTCACATGTTCACTGTACAGCGTCATTTACCTCTGCATTTATTTAGCCGCTCTGCCCCTCAACTAGATTGGAAGCTTTGGAGGTCAAGAGGCTGCATCTTATACATTTTTTTTATCCCCAAGATTTAGATGCATGCTTTTGTACATAGCAGGTGTTCAATATATGTTTGACTATGATGACAGGTTGCTTTGTGAGAAAACTTGAATTCCCCAAGACAAGTATGTACTATTTTTTTCAGTCAGTCTAATGAAGGGTATCTTTTTAAAAGGAATTGGGCAGTGAATAGTGTGACTATGTGTAATCAAGCACAGACTAAGTTGCTGTAGCCAAGACACCCAAAATACCTTGAGTGTTTTTTTTTTTCCATCTTACAACAGTCTTGGATGGTGCGTGGCACTGATTGAGATGTCACCTGGAGACACAGACTGGTAGGGCAGTTCTGCCATCCTTCTGAATGTGGTGGTGCTTCCATCTCTGGGTCTTGAGATTCATCCATGTTACTGGATTTATTAGTACTCCATTCCTTTTTATTGCTGTTATATTCCTTCAGTATGAATATATTCTAGTTCTAGCAATGTTATTTTGATAAGTCTAAAAATAGAGGCTCAAACAATTGTGAGATATTTTTTGCACTACATATTCATGAAATATGTAGGGTCATTTTGGCTTTTTATTCCATTTAATGAACTTTCATTGAGTGCTTCTAGAGGCCAAATACTGTGCTCAGCGATGAGGATACAAAGCTGTGTAATCTCTGGCTCTTCCCCCAAATTATAGTTCAGTTGAATGAGAAAAAGAGTTACGTTGTCCCAATCTGATGGAAACCACAATATTTTAAACAGCCAGCTTAAGTACTTGCTAAAATGTTGTCAAAATCTGGAGCAACAAAGGATCCAGATGCAGTAAATAATACTACAGATCTCTGGTAAGAAATCTCCGGACCATCTTCCATCTCAGTCTTGCCCCAGGTTACAGGCGCCTGGCCTGACAAAGCATATCGACCTGAGAGTCAGGTCCCTCAGGTTCTATTTCTGGTTCTGCTACTGGATTGCTATACAGCCTTGCACAACATAGAGAACGTGTACTTCCTACAAAGCAAGAGGAAAGATGCCGAGGAACCCTGAGTGAGAGACTCCATACTTCAAGTGAGGTTGGGTCTCAGCAGCCAAGGGACTCCTCACTCAGAGCCTAGGCATACTATTCCCTTCTGCAAAAGTCATGCATTTCAGTGTGAAATTAGAGCTCCAATTTTGGTATGGTCAAAGCGATTTCCACTCACTCCTTGGCTCCGTGGTGACTCCAGAAGCCAGAACTTAACATGGTTTTCATTTTAAAAGCCTTGAAACTTTCCTTACTGAGATGTTTCTGTGGTTTAGGTTGCACTGGAGGAAATTGCGGTGGGCACAGAGTGAAGGTACAGGAACCCTTGGCTTCAGCGGGTAGGCGGTAGGTTCTACCGCTCGCCGCCTGGAAACCTGGAAAGGAGGTCGCAGTGAGTCGCTTCCTACACAACTACATTTCCCAGGAGGCTTTGCGGCCCCACTCGGGGTAGGAAGCTAGAAGGTGCTTAGAGCCGGCCTGCTGACTCCCATTGTGCCAAAGTCATGCCAGTCTGATTGGACAGGTCTATCGCGGTGCATCCCGGGACTTATAGTACGGCGTGTACGTAGCGCAAGGTACTTTGTGATTCGCGGCGCTGGCTGGGCGCTCCGGGCGCGCCCCTGAGAAGGGTCCGGACCGCGCACACGTGCGCCGCGCCCTAGGGGCCGACTGGCACCTCCCGCGGGGCGGGGCGGTCCGTTTCTCTTTGACACCGCCTTCCTGCCCCTCCCCTCGCGATTCCCGGCGGAGCCACTGCTGAAGCGGCTGCGGCGGCCGGGAAGGGGACTGCGAGTTGGCCCGCGCGACACGCGCCGGCCCCGACCCAATGCAGTGACTCGTGCGGCTCAGCAGCCTCGTCCCCCGCCGGCGGGGTACGGGCTTTCTGCGGCGGGATGTTCTCTCGAAGGAGCCATGGAGACGTGAAGAAGTCCACCCAGAAGGTGTTGGACCCCAAGAAGGACGTGCTGACACGCCTGAAGCACCTGCGGGCGCTGCTGGGTGAGGCGCGCGCCGGGGCTCGGGAGGTCCGGGCCAGGGTCAGGGCTGGGATGCCGAGGCCGTGTTGGTGGTGGGGGGGAGGAGGGCGAGGCATCAGACCTAGTGCCCTGGTCTCGGTATTGTTCCCCAGAAAGCGGGCACTGCCCTGTCGCCCTTCCGTGTAAACTTACCCCAAATTCTCACTAGGTAACCTCGAGGCAGAGCACAGCGTGACTGTCCTTTCCCCAGCAAATACTAGAACCCAAGTGGTCCTAGCACACGCATTTTTGAAATGTCATTTTCCCTCCCGTTTTTTAATGTTAAGTTTTTAGTCCGAGACCCTAAGTAGACTGAGACCCCAAGTATTTCTAGCACGGACTTAATTGAACGGTCTTCTCTTTCGCTCCCCTTTCCTCTTTTAAATTTTATTTTTACTTTTGAGGCTGAGTCCCCAAATAGACTGAGACTCCAAGTGGTACCAGAATACATTTAATTACACTGTATTATTTCCATGCCCCTCTTTTAAATTTTTTCTTTATTTTGGGTCTGGCTTCTTCAGTTTCTTTGTGTCCTTGGTGTAATAGAGGCTCCTTGTGTCTGCTTGGAGGGAGGGGTGACTTTCCTGCGTTCAAGGAAGCTGCTTCTCCTTTATTGCCAAGAAGACAGTGGTGGTTATATGCCTTCTTCCGTTTTTATGAGAATGCTGGGTGGAGGTTTTTCAGAGCCCAAGTGGGCCTGCAGTTGACCTGTGATGAAGCTCACCTCTGTGGTTGTGAAGCGTCCATAAGGCTTCCTGTCACCTGCTGCATGTGATTTGTAGCTGGTTTGCTATACTATGTTTTGTTTTCTATTTTCTTAGTCTTTTGTTTAGGATGAGAATATCTTTGCTATCTATAGACAGACTTTGTGTATTTACGAGCTGAGAAAAGGACACCTTATGTTTTCTTCTAGAAGTCAGTTTTATTCTTAAAGTGAGCAAAAATCACCTAATTTAGGGCACATAGTCTTAATGTTTGTTTCTTGAGGAAATATGGCATAAAATAATTTATTTTATATGTGAAAATTTTAAATAAAGATCTTGTTCATAAGATTAAAAATTGCAAATTATTTCTATTTATATTCTGTGAATAATTCTAAAGGGAAAACACACACACACACATACACACGTGTGCACACGCGCGCGCAGACACACACACACACTCTGGTTTTGCCAAGTGAAGTTCTTCACAATCTCAGATTCCTTAAGATTATACTGTCTTGTTCAGTTTGAAATGAAATCTTCAGTTTGGAACGAAATGTAAATTACTGTTAGAGGGATTAGTTTTCAAGACCTTTGAAAGTGAAATGTGGTGTTCTTGGTAAACTGAACTTTCTACTTCCTGTAGTAAAATACTATGCACACACAGGTTGCATTGTGCGGAGTTCTTAGTAGTGACTGATTAACACCTACTGCAGGAACATTTTTGATAAAGGAGAGTTAAGCAGTATTTTAAAGCATTTGATACTTTGGGACTTTTTCTGTAGTAGAGAATTTGAACTTTCATTCTATACAAGTCTACAGGATTAAGTTGGCTACATTTTGTAAAGGCAGAATCAATTAAACCTAGATCAGTTTGGTTTCTTAGAGATACATAGTACATTGTTACCATTCTGAGAAAGTTTTCAAGGCTGTGTAATTGTGGTTTCATTTTATGTATATCTTATTTTGAGGAACATTTTTTTTAATCATTTCATTGAGCTCATTATGACTTCAGTTGTGTAACATGGAGTTCTTTGATACTTCCTTAGGTGTACGTTGTTTTTTGTTGATGCATTTTTTTGTGGAATGGCCTCATTTACTTTATTACTGTAATCTTTATTCATAGGACTAGATTTTTGTAAATGTGTCTGAAGAATTCTAGTCATAATGTTTAATGTAAACTGTGCTTTAAAGACTTTAAAGAAAAATAGTACTTTAATGTACTAGTTCCTACCACATCACATACTCTGTTTGCTACTTTAAGAAAAAGTCTACTTAGAAAAAAAGTCTCTTGATCTGAAAGATGGGAGTTAACCAAGATCAAAAAAATGATTTGTAGGAAATGTTTAGACATTATTATTGTATTTTTATTTGTATATTTATATAATACTCTTTCACATTTTATTTTCAAATGATAATAAAGATGCCATTTTTTACATACAAAGATGATACCGCTGACCTGGATTTGCAGCAAAGCTGCCTGACTTTGGGGTAGTTACTTAGCCTGTTTTTGAACATCAGTTTCTCTACTGCATAAAATGTGTATGGTGATGTCTGCCCTGTAAGGGTTATTTTGAGTATGATATATAATCTATTTTAGTAGAGTAGGCATTTAACAGTTTCCTCTCCAATCATTAATAGGATAGAACAAGCATTTTAATAGATAGTTCCCTCACTCTTATTTTGATAATTGGGTGAGGGAACTATCTATTTCTTCATAAAAATAGTCTGTTTTTAAGACAATTGGCTGAAAAACACAATTAGCTCTGAAAAGTATAATATTTCTTAGTATTGTGGTAATGACTCCAATTAGAACTTGCTTAGCTACTTTGACCTGGCTATATATTGTAGAGTGGCCTGATATTATTAGCTTTATTTTACAGAAGGAGAAACTGAGGCACAGGCAGGTCTTACAAGGGGCCGAGCCATGTACTAAATGGTCTATATGTATTATGTTAGGAGAAGAAGAAAGTTATTAGGTCCTCCGACTTCCTGTTCTCTCAATCCTGTTGCAATTATTATTGGGAAAGTAAATGAGCAAACAAAATAAAACAAAAACAGAAAATATACTGTGTATTGCTATCTTGCTCCAACAAAGATTTCATATTGCATTAAAAGTTGAGTGCCTAGTGAGTCTCAAAATAGGATATATAAATGGCATTGTTATAGAAAGAAGAATAAGTGTAATAGTAAACAATAATGTGTTATGTAATTAGTTGCTTATATGGTAGACTCCATTGTAGGATTTCGACAGGGCAAAAGAGATCATTAAGAATGGCACAAAGATAGGGGAATCTTGAAGGAGGTTTTATTCATGCTGGACCCTGAAGAATGGTTAAATTAGCTCTGTCCAATAAAAATATAATGTGAACCACATGTGTAATTTAAAATTTTCTAGTAGCCACATTTAAAAAAGTAAAAAGAGACAAGTGAAATTAACTTTAATATATTTTATTTGACACCGTGTATTTAATATATATGATGTCAAAAGGTAATCAAAATAAAATATTAATTTTTTTTTACATTTTTTTTATACCAAGTCTTTGAAATCCGGTGTGTATTATACACATACAGCACATCTCAGACTAGCCGCATTTGCTCAGTAGCCATTTGTGGCTAGTGGCTACATACTGGACAGAGCAGGGTTAGAATTTGGGAAAGTTGTGGGGGAAGGCAATTTTGGCTAAGGAAAGGTGAAAGAGCTGGTGGTAGAAATATACTTGGCAATGATGTGGGACGGTGAGGAATACCAGCTTGCTTCTTCCTTGTGTCCAGTGGGGGAGTGGTGAGGGTAAGGTTGGGCACTGAGAAGAGGCGGGTGCTAGAACCCTGGCCCTGAGGCCATCCACAGTGTCAGATAAGTACCTATAGTACTGTGTAGGCCAGGATTAGGGGCAGGGCAGTGAGTTGAACTGGGGGGAATTACGGGGGAGGAAAGGAGTAGGTAGCCTGATTGGGAGAAGCTGATGCAGGTTTGGGACTAGGTTAGAAAGGGTATCGTTTGCCTGAATTAGCAGCTCAGATCTTATCCTGCAGGTGAGAGGACCTTCTTGGAGAGTTCTTAGCAGGCTAGATGATAAGATTTGAAAACTTTCTCTCCGCCAGCAGGGCCAGGAAAAATGTATTGGGGCTGATGGGAGGGGTGGCACTGAACACAAGCAATGTCGGAACAGACAAATGATGAGGGCATGAAATAAGAGGTTCCATTAATGGAGAGGTGGGTTTGGATTATAAAGGACCACTGCAGCGGGAGTGATCCTCTGAGCTAAGTAATGAAAGTGAAGTTTGCAGAAGCTAGGTGAGGAGTAAGTAATCTGAAAGAAAAGATGTTTGGCATCACAGGCCACAGTCAAGTCAAATCAAGTGACAGCAGGGTTTGGACCAAATTTTTGGAATCAGAAAGGACAGAATAGTCTCTCAGAAATGCTGTCTATATTGATAGAGCAATATAGAACATTTTGGTGTATTTCCTTTTCTGCATCTGTTGCTTTAAGTTCATTTACAATTTTAAATGTTGCCTTTTAGACTTTTTTAATATTAGCATTTCCCTATGTTTTGTTCCTTTCATTCTTATTAATTAAAACATTTGTTGAGACTATACGCCATAATTTAATTTACCATTTCTTGGATGCTAAAATTGTTTTCTTCCTTCTCCCTGCTCTTCTCTCTTTCTTTCTCTGATAGAAATAACACTGCTGTAAACATTAGAAAGCAGTTTTTTCTATATTTTGCATTATAACCTTAGTATAGATTCCACTGAAATCAAGTTGCTGGGTTTAAGCATGTTTATGACTTGATTCACAGTGCTTTCCTAAGTGTTGTTCCCATTGGCCCTGCCAGCAGCAAGGATCGAAACTACCATTGTAATCTGACTAGCAATAAACACATTTTTATAATTTGATAATTGGTGTTAGTTGTTTGGGAGAATGGGAGTGTCATGGATAGAACCAGAATTGTTGGGAGGAGATCCTGGCTAATGACAGGGGAAGATGAGCTTGATATTGACTTAGAGAAAAAAGCAAGATCTAAATGGAAATGTCTGGGAGGTTGTAGGACATCAGGTCTGGAGTTTAATGAGAGGATAGAAAACAATGATATGGTTTTTTATTGAATCTCCCCACAACCAAGGATGAAGGTAGTGTTCCTACTCTCAACCTACAGATGAGGAAACTGAGGCTCAGTGTCAGTAACTACTTGTCTACCAACTCCCAGATGATAAGTGGCAGAGATGGGATTCATATGATTATAAAACCCATGTTGTGCTTTTGCTGATTTTCAGAAT